GTAGTCAGAAGTGTTTTCAACACTTCCGATCCTGTGTCAGTGCCTGAGCTTCGACTGAATATAACCTAAGTCTGGGACTGAATCCGTCGAGGCACTTGCCTCAGGACATTCTTGACCTTCCCCGGGATCTTCCAATGGTCGGTTTGGAGCATTCGCCAAGGGTTCCTAAACCATCGCACTTGTGAGTTCTAAATCTGGCGAATCAACTGCTGTACACCTCAACCTTGTCCGTGTCTGAACTCCACATTTAATTGAGAGGCGCGTGCCTGGTGATTCGTTTCAAAAAGCCCATCTCAACTGTTTGTACCTGGAATCACAGTTTTTCAGATGTTGTTCATGTCAGCAGGTGAGCATGAAGATGATAATCGACCAGTGATCGGATTTAACTATGGCTTGGTCACAACGGTTCGGAAAGTTCGCGCTGAACGCCGTTGGGTATTCTGATGCGCCGGTCGATCTCTTCTTCCAGTTTTCTCTACCCCTAACTCAGACCCTGATTTACCTACCTTCTTTACCTGTTCCACTGATTTTCAGTTTATCTGTAGGGCGCAGCAGTCAGAAGATCAAGAAGGCACTTGGCTTTTGCTTTTAGTCACGTGCACGCACATACCGGCGACGTCTCCTGGGCTACAAGTCTTCCCATAGCGCAGTGGAGATCAGTTTCGGAAGATGCCAACCCAGCAAGGTCATCTGCCAACAGCAGACTTATAGTCTCGTCATCTGTTCCGACACACTCATCACCCTGATGGCTCCTGTTTATCCTATCCACCGACAGCACAGACAGGAGAGGTGACAGAACGGATTCAGAACGGATTCTTGGTTGAGACCGGTGCCAACGTTGAAAGGTCTCGGCTAATGCCATGTAACATTACTCTTACGCAGCACCTGATATCAACACAGCACCTGGACAGCGCATAGCAACTAACCATAGATACCATATTTCTCCACTCACGCCTGTGACTTGTTGCCCATAGTTCGGTCGTAGCCTTTCTCTTGTTCTGTAAAACACATGTAAACCAGATGAGCGAACTAACAATTTTTCAGCAATCAGGCGTAATGCGAACAGCTGGTCCGCGATGTTTCGATATGAGCAAATGCCCACGCTGCCTTCTTGGATCTTAAAGTCAGCTGTTCCGCGCTACCTACTGTCCAATATCTTTGCTTAGACTTTTACCGGAAGGCTGAGTAAGATATGCCCTGATAATTTGAATACTCCCTATATTCTTCTTTCTTAAACGAAGTGCTACTACTCTTGTTCTGTAGTCAGCTGGTATCTTCCCGATAGCCACTGCAGCTTGACAGTCCTGTTAGCCACATCGTGCCATGTTCGCCTAAAGCTTTAAGCACCTGAGGGCGAAATGCACAAATTCCAGTAGCCTGAACTTTCTCCGAGTTGAATAATTGTTGAACAATCAGTCAAAAGATTGTATGTCCGGTTAGATATTTGTCGACTGGTAGCTCGGAATTATTAAGTTGATCGTGCTCTACATATAAGACAGTGTAAATGTAAGAAGGGGATAATCAGAAATTAAGGATGCTCTGTGCAGAAAATTGTTTCCAAGATTAAATTGCATACGGAGCGTACAAAACGTATAGGGACCAAAAAATACTGCTGGGAGAAAGAAATTTGGGAAATAGAATAATCGTACTTTATTACTAATGGCGGTTTTTGAAACTCATTTTTTACTATGACTTCAGTGTAGTAGGTGGAGATTTGAGAATTATACACAACCAGATCACTGTAAAAGTATATTTCTTTACCAGTTTTTTGGACAGACTGCCTTGGCTATCGAAAATAACTTTAAATGCTCTCGATTTTGGACCATGAGTTACATGACTGCTGAGTTTTTTTCTTGATTCATGGTTTGAGACCAACTGCGACCATGAATCAAGAAACAAGTGGGTTTATTATATTCTGTTTTTGCTGAGTGCTTATATGCAAATGTGGTGAATTATTTTTAAGCATTGAACCGCCACCAGGAGAAACGTTAAAGAGTTTTATGACTCTGGCCCTTGATTGGACAGCAAATTTTCTATTTCTTTCTGACATTGAAAGAAAGGTGATAATTTGAAAAGTTATCGGCATGTTTTAAATCGGCGTTGTGTACTTCTAGTCATTTTATGTGATTGAAATCGAACAAATGTTGCACACGGCACGATTTGTGTCCTTCTCGGAATTTCCGTTGGTTTTGCCGGCACTCAGTTTAGCGGTGGCCAGTGTTGAACGGAAAAGTTTTCGCCCATATTCACCAAACTATCCAGAATACTGTAAGCGTTGCATGAAAGAAGACGAAGGATTATTGCGTGAACGGTTATAGATGAGCGTGGCGAGGAGGTCGAGGAATCTCATATTTGTTCAGAAGTTTCTGCGACTCTTTGCGCCGTGAACCGAAAGTAACGTCCCTTTTCGCTGTGCGTGTCCAAGTTCGTACTTCAATTTTTAGATCATTGCTTGAATTGGAGGTCAGGTTTCAACCGATATCTGTTGTACAGCGTTCCGTTTCCAAAGAAAGTATTCACTCTTTTGGCCTCGATGGTGAGTTTTGTGTATATTTCTCTGACTTCAACGGCCTGACTGAAAATAAAAACTACTGTGCAGTTGAATGATACTCAAATCAAGGCAGGTTAAACCTGCTGCTATTTTTAAGGAATAATTGATCTCAAGGTATACACAGGTACATATGCTCCACGTAGAACCGGTTCAAAATCGATCCGTACAGCTTGAAGTTGGTAGTGACGGATTGGTACTCAAAAACCGGCAAGCGTCCTACTGGAGGACGCACTCAGATGAGACGATGATCTAAAGAAAAGTTTGTGGAAGTTTGTGACGACAAATCGCACGAGGTAAACAAGCATGGGCATCGAGACCAGGCAGTTGTGATCCTCACGAAGAAGCGTCGGCTAACTTCAATTGTCGTATCTCGCGGCGCTTGATGTAGTTGAAATTCCACTGCAGTCTGAAACACTCAGCAATGCAGTTTATGCAACGTTCAAATGGGTTCGTATGCAGAATTATGTTACCGCTCAGCTTCTCAAAAACCAGGTGTTGCGACGCACTGCACTACTCTTGACTCGTAGCTGCGTAGGAGGCTATTTAAGAATTCTGACTCCATACTTCTGTATATCTATTTTGTAGTATATACTTCTCTGTTTATTTGGTTCATTTGAATCCTTGTTCTTGCAACGTCGTTTCTAAGGAGCTAGGGATTGCAATGGCGAATAGAATAATGTGCAATGTATAAAGCACTGCAGATGCCTAAATACCGTAGATCCTTCGCCAGTTCAAAAAATTTCATAAGCATATGGGAACACGGTGCGGTGTAATACGCATTAAATTATGTTTTAGGAATTACGCACTTATTAACATCTTCATCTTCCATCGTCGCTTCTCCTTTCAGGTCGCGGAGGCAGACGGGTCAGACAGAGCTGGCAACATTCTCGATTTTGTGTCAGAGTCTGAGCTTCTGCAAAATAAAAATGGAGTCTAGAACAGACTCCTTCCCTATATTTGCACTAGGTTAATCTTGGCCGTCACCTGGGCCTTCTGCCGGTCGGATTTGCAAGGAACAGTTGCTTAGCCTTCCATTCTGGAGGCATTCGCAACACATG